CCGCCGGGCGCGGCGGCGGCGACCGCGGCGGCGGCGTCGGCAGTGGTCGGGGCGGCGCCGTCGGTGTCCATTGCGGAGGGGGGCGGCGGAGGCGCACCGGTGCGGCCCTCCACCAGAGCCACGCCCACCTAGATGGCATGGAACCGGGTTGGGGTGATGAGTTTTGGCGGGAGTGAGGGGACATCATTCGCTTGAGTCATTCAAGCGCAATCAGGGTGACGAATGGGGTTTGGCATGCCAACTGGGCTTTGGGGTGCCCTCAGCTAGCAGTATCCCCCCAAACCTCACACAATCTTGCCAACAACATGACTCGCGCAACAGCAGTGCGTGCACCCGACACTACTTCGCACCCCAGTCCGCCCGTGCCCACCCACCCCCTGCTGGTTGTGTTGCAGGCTGCAGCACACAATGCCTGAATGCCAAGACGCCACCACCACCTTCAGTTGGGGCCAGCACCCACCTTGGCGAGTTGCGTGAGGAGGTCGCCCGCCGGCTCAGGGGGCGCACTCTTAAAGAGGGCGGGCGCCGCCGCCACGTAGCGCGGCGCGACCTCTGGCAGGCTGAAGAGAGCCTGTTGCCGACAGCGCGGACGTGGTTGCAGCAAGGCGGGCTTGGTTGGTTGATGCACCACCTTGCTGGAATAAAACCTTCCACGAAGACGCACACACGAATGCATGAAGGCGGCATATGCGCGTGTGTGTCGTCGGATGCTCCACGCCCCCTGCATGCCCGCACCTGCAGGCAGCTGTTCATGTAGCAGCTGTTCCCCAGGTTGACCAAGCCCACGTGGCCCGGGCCCGACAGCGGCGCGAGGTGGGCCCCGGCCTCGGTGATGGCGTCGAACTCAAAACGCATGTTGAGGTCGACCTGGGGGGTCAAGTCGGGCGTTGGTTGGTTGGTTGGTTGGTGGTTAGTTGGTGGTTGATTGGTGGTTGGTAGTTTGTTGGGGGTGGGTTGGTGGTTTGTGGATGACGTGCGAGGCCGTTTGTTGGGGGCTCGAGGGCTGGGCGGGGGGGCGGTCGGAGGCGGCAGGGGTGACAGGACAGGCAAGGCGCGCGCACATGGGGCAGCAGGACCGGAAGCTGCGGCAAAGGAGGCAGGGGCGCAGGTGTGGGTTGTCGATTTGAGCTGCCTTGGGTCCGCGCTGTGCCCTTGGCCAACCTGCAGCTCCGCCATTGTCTTCTCAGTCTTCTCCATCTGGGGGTGGTGGGTCGCAGCATTTGCACGGCCTGACTGAGCCAAGTATGTTGACATCTGCTTGCCGGTGCCCTACCCTCCTTGATCAGCACACCTTTTCACCGCCCCGTATTCCTGCAAAACACGCACGCAGACTCTGACGCCCTTCCTTCGAAACCCACCACCACACAGCGCATACAAGGACAGGCCACGGCCCCTCTGCCACCCCACCTGCAGCATGTTGATGCCCCAGTGCCGCAGGTGCTTGTCCAGCAGGGGGTCTGTCACCATGTCGTCCTCGTCAGCGGCGTAGCTGTACACGTCAGCACCTGGCGGCAGTTGGAGAGGGAGTGATGGTGATTGGCAGCGAGCTCCGCTTGGGAGCGCCAGTGGGGTTGAGTTACAAAGGACTGAGTGTGATTTGGAAAATCGGAGCCGATAGTCTTAAGAGATGAGCGCCAGGCAATGACACCCAAAACTCTGCTAGTTGAGATCACTCAGAGGGCCCTGGCGTGCGCACGCGCTCAAGGGCACTGCGCGGACGGCAGCGGGCGCGTCAGCCCCCAAGGCGCCCGCCCTGCCGTCCAGGATGCGCCCCCACCTGAGGGCGTGATGGTGCCCAGCTTGACCACCAGGGGGTACTTGGACCCAGTGGCCTCAAAGTGGCGCATGGCGGCGCCGTTGCCGCCGCTGCCGTCCCAGTTCTGCGCGCGGGGCGCCCAGTGGCGAGCGCGGGCGCGGCCGGCATCAGGTTTGGCATGGATGTGCCGCCGAGGAGCGCGCGGAATCACTGAGCAAGCGCAGCCGGTGCATGCTTCGCGCAGCCACGGGAGGCAGCCCCCGATCGTGTCGGGCAGAACAGCCGCGTGACGCGGCACGAAGCCCCATGCCTGCAGACGCATGGTGTGCTGCAGCGCGACGCACCTGACGCCCCGACCCGATGTGGCCCGTGGAGAGGTTGAGCCAGAGGTTCTCCGCCACCCCCGTCTCGTCGCACTTCCAGTCCTTGGGGTTGGGGCTGATGCGCTTGCCGGTGTCCAGCTGCTCAAGGCCTGCCGCGTACCTGGTTCAGGTTTTTGAGGCGTTGCCAAGCGGCAAACCAGGGTTGCGACAAAGCGGCGGCCCACATATGCAGGACATGGCATAGGAACTACATGGGGAGACAGACGTGAGGATGTGTGGGAACCTGGGCAGGAACGGGCCAGACGCTCAGCCAACACCGGCGTGGAGCGTGCCCACGGAGTCTGCCAGGCTTGACGCCGGCGCTGCCGGATCGAGGCCGCCCGGGCCGGCGTGGCGGCGCGGTGCGCGCGCGGGGCAGGCGTGCGCGCCGCGCTCACTTGCTGACGCGCCGCTCCTCCTCCCAGGCAGATACCGTCTCCTGGGTGGTGGCGCTCTCGTGGGCCTGCCAGGGATTGTGGCAAGAAACGTAACGCAAGGTGAGGGCTGGGCTTGCAATTGGGAATTGCACTGTCCGGCATCAAAACGCGCGCTACTGCTCCTCTCTGCCTCCTAATTTTTCCGGAGCAGCTGCCAAAACCCCCGCAAAAGTGAGCGGCACAGGGCCCGGCGGCGGCCCAATTAATCGTGCGCCGCTGCAAGCCGCCAGTGCGCAGCCAGGCCGTCCAACGCCTTGCACCGCGGACAGCGCAGAGGTCGGTGCATACAAGCACGCGTGGCCACACATGCCGTCGCGCCATCCCCGCCCCACCGTGACTGCGTCGCACACGCCGATGACGAGCTCAGGCAGGTCGGGGCAGGGCAGCGCCACACGCTCCCTGGAGGGCAGCACCACCAGCGCGTGCTCCTTGACGGTCACGGTGCGCGGGCCCTCTGATTAGATGTTTGGCAGAGGGCGGGACGGTGGAGGGGAGGGTGGCCGGTACACCCGCAGGTCGTGTTTGAACTCGGCCGTCCGTGCCGCAACTCATCTATTGAGACGAGCACTGGGCCTCACGAGCAGGCCGTGAGAATGGGTCATGCTGCTGAGCCCACGCATTGCGCTGGCCAAGACGCTAGCACCCAGGGGGCGAGCTGGGGTCAGGGCGGGCCAGCGGTGACGCCCAGGGGTGGTATGTGCGTGCTTCGCCCGTAGCAGCCTCACCCGTGTTGAAGCCGCCCTCCACGCCAATTGCCAGCTTTGTGGGGGCCTTTTCCTTGTCGTCCCCTGCCTCTTCAGCTACCGGAACCTGCGGCAGTTGGTGGGTGTGCGGACGCATGTCGCTGCGCACCCGCCATGCGCAGCGGCTCCCTTTTTGGGCGGGCGCATCCCGCCCGCTGCCGCTGTCAGGCGTTTGTGCAGCGCAGCTGGGTGCGCCCGATCTGCTGCCTCTACAAACTCTCAGCTGGGCACACCCGGCGCAATCATCACGCGCGGTGACACTCGCATGCCGCGCAGCGAAGATGTCGCTGCAAGAGACGCCCGGTTCTGCCCTGCTGAGCTTGGCAGCAACCGCCTCCCCCCCCCCCGGCCCCCGCAGCACGATTTTACCTTGGTCCATGACTCATGCAGGTACAGTGTGTTGCCAGTCTTTTCATGATCCAACGCCACGTAGTCAGCGCCAAAGCCCTGCGATGCCAGCACGCGCGCGCATTGGATTGGACGAGGTGCAGGTGGGGAGGGAGGCCTCACCTGCCACTCAGCAACCGCTACAGTAGGTGAGGTTGTGTAATGGCGCCTGGTTGACAACCGAGGCCGGCGCGAGGTCCAAAGGGGATGCCAGGATGCGGGCGCCGGTCACCTAGGCGCGCACGAGGCCGCACCTGCAGTGCAGTGGAGCAACGCATGTGCAAGCGACCGTTGCCCTGAACAGCTCGCCTGAAACGTCTTCAGGTTCACGTACAGGCCGCCCGGAGAGAAGGGTGTATCGAAGCTGTACATGCACTCGTCCTTGTAGACTTTGTCGAAGTGGCCGGGCGCCTTGAGGCCGCGCATTCCCTGCCTCACGCGATCCAGGACTGCCTCGTCCACCGGCGCCATCTTAAATTCTTCTCTATATCTCTGCGCTTAGATCGGGGCCAGCGCAAGAGCTCACGCTGGAATAGATCGATCCCGAGCAACAGATCTGGACATATGCGCGCCGGTATGGCACAACGATGAAAATGCCACTGGATACCAACAAAAAAGGTATGACACGCGGATGGCATTTTAAGATCCCGACCTCTGCGTGGGCCAGACAAGTATGATGTGTCAGTGTGCAGTGCGCAGCACCACCCCTGCTCGTGCTGCACATGCCTATACAAATGAGCCACCCCCTGCTTGCATTTTGCCACCCTCTCATACCATATGCCTCAACGATGCAACTGTCATGGGTCTACACGCTTGCATGCATCAAGCCAGCACCCAGCCACACACATCCTCACTTGCATGCTTTCATTGACTCATCCGCTGTTGTGCGATCGGCCCATCCGCGGCACAAGCAGCAGCCTGGCGCCGCTGTTACAGGGCCCCAAGGGCAGGTCGAAATGCAGGCCAGAGCCGTGGATGCCGCATGCACGTGCACACCGGGGGCCTGAGAAAAGGGCCCGCGCCGCACACTGTGGGGATGGCAACGCGGCGCGCAGGGCAGCCCTCGCGACTGGCGTGGCCACAAAACCTGGCCGGGCAGTGTCCCAAGGGCGGCCGGTGCGCAGCCGTCGGCGCAGCCACCTCAAAGAGCGCGGCGCTGCGGGTTGTGTCGAGATGCTGACATGCAACACAAACACAAAAGGGGAGGCCACACCCGCACACATCGGGCGGGCAAATCGCATGGCAAGCCTTGCACACGGGGGGGACATCACGGGGTTGGCCGACGCCCTCAAAAGCAGAGGCTGCCGCTTGAGGTTGGGTGCGCAGGCAACAGCCGCCCAAGGGGCCGTGCAATACGCAACCCCAACACAGAACGTTAGTACTGCTGTCTAGAAGCAAACCCCATCACACTACCATGGTGGACAAGAGCGAGAGGGGCGAGTGGACATGAGAGAACGCAACACAAGCCAGTTGGCTCTGTTGCTCCATTCACAACAATCATGGGGCGCCACCAAATCTGCCTGATACGGAGGCGTCGAGCCTTGGGGCCTGCAAAGTGGGGCGGCCAGCCGCCAGCTCAAAAGGAACAGGCACCCTACTTTGCGTTGAGCGCTGCCGTGCGCCGACACGGCGCCAAAAAATGCCCCATGCCATGGCTAGCACCCCCGTCGAGAGCGGGCCCGCCTGCCAGAGCGGCCCGTACGCGGGGGCGCGGCGTCCCGCGCCGCCGCGTCGACAGCGGCGACTGGGTGGCGGCCGGACTCAACGCCAGCCCCTCGCCGCTGCCGCCGTCGCAGCGTCGCCGCCGCGGCCTTACATGGCGCCGGCGGCCTGCAGCTTCTGCGCAAGGCGCTGGCCCAGGCCGGCGTCGGCCTGGCTCCAGTAGCCGATCCAGATGCGGCGGATCTCGGCGGTGCAGCGCTTGTCAGCCAGGATGTCAGCCATGCGGCCGATGAACCTGGGGGTGCGGCACCAAGGGTTTGATTGTTATTCCAGTGTTGTGAGCGCGCTCCTAATATGTCTCCCCCTGGGTACTAAGATCCTGTGGGTGGTTCCACGGCGCAGCTGGCGCGTGCGGACGGCTCCTTGTACGCCCAGGGAGCCAGGCGCGCCTGCAGACCCCGCATTCACAAGAGGCGACCGCGAGGCTGCCCGGCGCCACGCTCCGCTCCGCTCTGCCCAGGCCTGCCCAGCCCCCCTCCTCTTGCCCAGCCCCACCAGGTTCCCCCCTCGACAGCCGCCGCACCTGTCCTGCCTGTCGCGCGGCATGGCGCGGAAGCGCTCCCCCGGCTGCTTAAAGTTGTTCTCCTTGGCGATGATGGCGCGCTCGCGGCGGCCTGCCACGACGTTGCGCGCGATTGGGTGCGGGGCCGCGTGGCGCACGGGGTCGAAGCGCGAGGGGAAGTAGTTGACCTGTTGTTGGAAGAGGCAAGGGTGGGGGGAACGTGTGTGTGGGCGCTGGACAGGCGCGAGTGTGCTTGAGCAAGTCACCAAGGCAGTGGCGAATAGTGAGGAGTCTGCTGCATCGTGCGCTCACAAGACGTATGCGTCGTGCGTGAACAACTCGTGGCACATGCAGGGCGGCACAACGAGCGGGCCCGCATTTCGCCGGGCCGGCACCTCTCGGGAACAAGCCGCCGCAGGACCGCAAGAGGAGGGCCGCGCAAACTCCGCTCAACCACACGCCGCTCGCCGCGCGCGCAGGGCCACGCCGGGCCATGCGCGCCGCGCACCTCCTCGTCGCGCGCGGCAAAGTTCATGAACCCGTCGTGGTGGTTGTTGCGCGCAGGGCACTTGGGCGCGTTGACGGGGATCATCAGGTAGTTGGGGCCCAGGCGGTGGCGCTGGGTGTCCGCATAGCTGTGGCG